AGATGATTCACAAAAGTTCCAAAATCGTTATAGGAAGTTCAAGGACAACCCAAAATTAGAGAAACCTCTTAAGATCTATAATGACACTTTAAACTCATTGATGGAGTCCGATCCGCGTAAAACCGTCAAGGAATTCTCACAAGACATTGCTGGTCGATGGTCAACAGCGAAAGATCAGTTGAAATGTAATAATTTGATAAATAGACAAGAAATTTCGATGTCGCACGAACTTTCTGCAACTGCATTAAAACAATAATATGTTTTCCACATGTGAAACTAACCCGTTTCTTAGAAGAATTGTTACTGGGTATAAACTGTGAGTCTTCTTCAGCAATTCGAGGATAAAAATGGGTTTCACATTTCTTGTCCCTTCCCCATTGACTTTGAAAAATGCTCTTCATTTTTTGTTTGGTGTGGGGAATAATTCATTTTGAATTACTAAAACCTGATCCGACTATTATAGCAGAGATTAAAGTAAGATTGAAAGCAGAACTGCTTAAAAACTATCAGTTTTAGTAAGCAATGAAAGAATTCTACTGGATTTAGAAGTTCTGCATCATTCCACCTTTTTAAATCGAGGAAACGTTTCTCTTTGTTAAAAAAAAATACAAATGTTGAACAAGTCTAAAATCACTTGGAGTCATAAACATTTTATTAATTAAAAACTACGAGAATTTTATGAAAAGGGTATTAAAAATCTGCTCATTCTCTATATGATAATAAAGTATTTAACTTATTAATATTGTACAGTTTTACTTTAAATAATTTTGTGAAATTGTCATTTCTTTCCGCTTTATCTTATACAATAGTTGATAATAGAAATGAATGTGGGCAACAATGAAAAGTAATGATAATAATACGTGAATAAATTATGTAATTATGTTATATATTCAAATTAAAAACGAAGGTTGCACATGCAAATCTCATTCAAATAAATGCTCTTTTGTTTGTTTGTTTGAAATCTGGATTGTTATATAAGTCACTGCGCTGCATTCAATTGCAATTCCATTTTTTCGAATTATTTCTCGCGCACGGTTACAAAAAAAAATATACTGAATAATGTTATAATACGTATGTCGTTGCGCAATTGATGCATAATAGTTGGGTTTGTTTTCATATGTTTATTGTTGTTTACGTTTATTTATTTCGTTTTATGTGGAGATCGTGTTCTTCTCTCTTTTTGGCTTTGGTAACGTACGTCAGCGGTGAACCAGAACCGCTGCTGTACGTGTCTGGATATGCTCCAGTTGCTGGCTTTATCCCATACGCCGCTCCCTTCGTCGCCTATGGACATTATGGGACCCATTATTATTGAAAACACTTACAACATCGACTGATACCTACATTATTATTTCTAAATTTATTTTAACGCTACTTTATCAAGCAATAAAACAACTATGTTAATTGTTACCTTATATAACATATCGATTTCCTTACCCTAACAAGTAGAGGTAAGTGCACAGCAAACGAAATGTATCAAGTTTCTTATATTTTTTTATATTTCATTAACAAACATTATAAAACATTATAACTTTATAAATGTGTCTTATTCTATCAATTAAATGAATATCAAATGAATATAACTGTGTCATAAATTGATAAATCATTAGTGTCAAATTCAGTGATTGTCAGTCGAATTGCAGCGATTTTTTCTAGGTGTCTAGATGTAACAGTTAAATGTATAACTACTGAAATTGACTGAAAACTGCGCCATCTGGCATCCATTAGAAAACTACATAATTTGACACCTCATTAGTGTCAAGTCCAGTGATTGTCAGCCGAATTGCTGCGATTTTTTTTAAATATTGTTTATTAAATGTCTATAGGTGTATAGATCTAACAGTTAAATGTATAACTACTGAGATTAACAGTAAACCGCGCCACCATCTGGCATCCATTAGAAAACTAGACAAATTGACACCTCATTAGTGTCAAATCCGGTGATTATCAAACGAAGTGCCACGATTTTTTTAAACTATCGTTTGAAAACGTCACAAATTGACACCTCATTAGTGTCAAAACAGTTGATTGTCAAACAAAGTGCCACGATTTTTTTAAACTATCGTTTGAAAACGTCTCAAATTGACACATCATTAGTGTCAAATCCGGTGATTGTCAAACGAAGTGCCACGATTTTTTTAAACTATCGTTATAAAACATCACAAAATGACATCTCATTAGTGTCAAATCCGGTGATTGTCAAACGGAGTGGCACGATTTTTTTAACATATTTTTTGACAGATCATTAGTGTCAACTTCAGTGATTCTCGAACAGAGTGTCGAGTTTTTTAAATATCATTAATTAAATTTATAAATGTCTACCTGTGTCTAGTTCTAGCAGTTAAACAAATACCAACTGAAAATGATTGTAAACTACACCATCTAGCATACACTTTAGTAATTTATACTACATTAATGTCAACTCCAGTGATTGTGAATCGGAGTGCCGCGTTTTTTTACTCTATTCATTAATTATATTGTTATCAAAATTTAAGTTTTCCGTGAGATAGAAAGAAAGTTGAAAAACCTTCTATCTTCATAACATTCATAACGGTTTGAGAAAAAAAACTATAAATTCGTAATAAGGAATAAAATTCTCTATGAGATTTCGCTCAAATTCAAAGTATCCAATGATTTTTTCTCAATACACAAATAAATAATGAATGTTTAAAAAAAACTGCAATAATTTAATATATAAATGTTAATAATTGTAGGTCAAAGTTGATTTAAAGGCACGTTTCTTGCTGCTGCATCTGTTGCCGCAACGTCACACGGAAATCTTGATTCTTTCAGTCTGCTCCTATCGATTTTGCCGTCTTTCCAACAACAGTCCACGTTCCTCGAACTTTGTCCACGTTTACCACAAGTTTCCCCGTTTTGTAAGTTCAATGCAACACGTTTATATTTTGCACGACGTCCCTTCTCGTGTTTCATCTAATTGCCGATTATGGTCACCTGCATGTGCACATTCCTTCGCCCTTCGCACACCCTTGGAATTCCCGCGCCGCACATTTTCTGCATTATTTAATTCTATTACATCATCCATTAAGGACTTTTCTTTAGCCTTGGCCTTACTATTATCTTCCTCGTCGTCCTGTTACTATGCTCAACTGCAACATTGGAATTCGTGGACGATGACCGACTTTCGACAAATGCATCACAAACTGTGTCAAACATGTGAAATATTTCTATTGCACCCTTTTACGTCCACATCTTACAACTGGAGTACTCTTGATTGAACGTCACTAATGCAAAAATCAGATCTGATTCCTTCAATTCGTCAAAGATCAAGATCAACTAAGCCAAATAAGTCAAAAATCAATATTTAGATACAAAAAAACGCAACCAAATTTACACAATTTTTAATTAATTTTACTTTTTTTACGTAAAAATCTATAAAATTGAGCAATTAATACGAATTAGACATCAACAAATTAAATGAGATCATCTCATTAATTTAGATTAATAATTTATTACATTTAATTTTATTCACAAATATGAGATCACGAAATCAATGTCTCTTTAATCCGGATTATTTACTAGATTTAGATCAGAAAGATTAAGCAAAATCGCGCAAAAGCAGTCAATATTACGTGAAAAACGTAATAATTCGTCCGAACATTTTGCAGCATAAGAATTATCCGGATTAATTTAGTGTATAAAATGTAAAACATATATTTTCTATTTCTTTTCTTTAATCTGTAGCAAAATAAAACATCCAATTTACAAGATAAACATAGTTGTTCTCTTTTATGTATAATATCTTTTAATTAGGATTATTAGTGTGCAAAGTGTATATCTCGTCAATTTGCAAGAATACATTTATTGGAAATTATAGAGATTATTATTTACTGATTATTAAAATTAAACGGCAATTTGTATTATTCGAAGAAAGAAGCAAATTATGATTTATTTGTGGGAATCTTCTTTGAGGAATAATGTAATGAAATATCGCTGTGAGAGAAAGTAACATTTCATACGACTCTTTATTATCATAATTCATCCAAAATTAAACGAGAATTATTAAAAGTGAAGTACAAAAATATTACATTTCAGGTCGGATTATTAAATTGTATCAGTAATTAAAATATAATTGTATATTGCAACTATATTTTTATTAAGATTATAATATTTATGATAATTATACTTAGTTATCTATATGAAATATTTGTGCAAATTCAAGCGTCTGTATTTTTATTGAAAGTGTATATAATCATGTTTCATGGATTCAATCAAATTCATTGATGATATCGAATAAACTAAATTTAATATTGCTAGATTACTTCCAATATTTGTTTCTTATTATTTGTACAGTTGACTTGAAATATTAAGTAATTCTACTATTAAATTTATATGTTTTAATATACTTAATGGTAGTTTAAACATGTTGTAGGAAATTTCATCTTTCGATTGTCGTATCAATAATACTTACCGATTTTTGCTGAAAAATGATAGAGGGAAAAGTATAAAATGCAAACAGAGTTTATTTTTCATATTATTATGTATTTATTCATCAGATAATGTTTTTCCTCATGTAGTAGGTATAGTGTTAATTTGTTTCGTACATTATTATTATTATAGGGACAAATGCTACAAGGCACTAACAAGGAGAATATCGTGTGAGTAAATGGGTGCAATCTGTACGAACGGAAACGAGGAAAAAATCGAAAAATCCAAAAAAGTTTTAAACGTACAAAGAAGGGAGAATCTTCTCTTATTCACATATTACAACATATTATTACAGTCGACTTATATATCAGCATAAAATGTAAATAAAATGCAGTGCAAAATCTTCCTGTATATAATTTACAATAAATGTATATAATATATATATAATATAAGATAGATATACATAGATATATATGTTTTGTAAAGAGCAAGAGAAAGAGATATAATATTTGTTTTCATGACCTATCCTATTATTATTATTTTTACAAATAATACCTAAAGTTAATGAAATGATTATTCTTCTCTTTATATATTTTTTTTCTTCTTCTTCGTCTTCTTTGGAACTTACACACTTTACAGAGTGTTTACATGTAAAATTGATTGAGTCCCCTTATGCGTGTGTTCGTTACTTCTTCTTTTTTTTTTCTTCTTCGTTCGCAACAGTTGTTCATGGTAATTTTTACATAGAGTGATAAACATTTACTTAATTTTCTCAATACATCTTTTTCTTTTAATATTTTCATATAAAAAACGTTGATTTATTTACAATAAGTATACAAATAGCTCGTAATTCTTAGGGGGCCAAAATTAAATGGTGTACCCTAAATACAACAGTCTTATCAGTTCTTCATTTCTCGTATTCAGTTTAAACTTAGTCTATTGCTGCGATCACCGATGATGGGGAAAAGGTACCATCACCAAAAACTTTACCAGATCAATGGGAATGCCTATCGGTTGAGGGCTGCCATGTGTTGGACGCCGCAGCCGCAGTTGCTCAAGTACACGCGACTCTGGTTCTTGGGAATCCTCTGGGTGGGCAGACCGGAAAGCCCTTTTACGTACGTATAGGTAACAGGAGACCGGAGGATCTTCTTCGGCGGCGTCTTCTTCGTGTTTTTCCTCTTGTCCTTACTGCTTTCCTTGCTGCTGTTGTTGCAGCTCTTCGAGCGGACGTTCACCGTAAGGTTCTGGAACACTTTGCGGATGCTCTCCGCGGACGTGGAGTGCGTGTGTCTCGGCCTGTCGCTTCCCGACTCGCTCGAACTGCTCGAGTGATGCGGAGATACGGACCCCGATCCTCCGGAGCAGCTGTTCTCGAGCTTCTTCCTGGAGCAGTGCGTCGAGCTGGAGGAATCCGTGCTCGATGATCGACTGTCCTCTTCGCATGTTAAGTCCTCTTGGGATCTTCTGGCGAGTTTCCTGCTGATCGCTCGGAACAAGCGGATGCCTCGCATCTCCCTCGACGGCGATGGTGTCAACGGGGAAACACTTCGGCTCTCCGGCGAAATCGTCATCAGCATCATCGCGTTTTCACTCACTGACATGTTGATAGATTGTTTACGTGTCTTTTGATCGGACGCTTCAACTTCTTCACTAAATTAATAGGAGGATGAGAAGTAGGTCTTTCTGATCACTTTGTATTTACGTGTGTATACGTTTTGCGTTTAGGCTGTATGTGGGGTTCGCAGTGAACTGGAGTTGCGATTCCCGCGTTCACCCTTATATAGGGTGCTCAACGTGCGGCCAACGACGACGCGCAAGTCCTCACGTGAACTTTGCAAAACCCTCGTTGATTTATTTTCATTCGGTAGGTCTTCACGTATAATTCAATAACACCTCTCTCTTTCTCTGTCTCTCTCCACATCCCACTACAACTTTTAAGCTAACATTTGATTACATTCAATACATTGCAAATATCAAAAACTTTACTCATCTGATTTCAGAAAAAAGATTCAAAATAAGAACTTCAAATATTTTTTTAATTAAAAAAATCCAGTGTTTTGATTTTAACGTGTTTCTCCTTAATTAGCTATTATTATCATTCTTTTCATTATTAAATTTAGAGAAATTTCTACTTGCTGTTTTATCGAGATTAAAGAACAATCTGTATTATTAGAGCTTTTAATACATAGAGAAAATTGTGTTTTATTCAAATCATTTGTTAAAAAAAACAAATTAAAATTGTGGACAATTAATCCAATTATTTATAGATTTACAAATATGCGCATCATGTAGTTATTATATAAATCTGAAATATTTATATCAATTGATCAAGTAATGGCAAAAAAAACTACACATGTCAGTCAGAGTAAAGTTGATGTTTGACAGCAAAAAAAATGATACAACTTTATTCAGTTAGTATATAGATGTATGACTTTTATTACATGGCTTATATATAAAAATATGATATTCATACATATTTAAATGTTGAATTAAATAGTATTTACATTACAGACATTACAATCAATATACGAAAATGTTATTGTCAATAGTAATATGAACTTTAAATGTTCTAAGAGTAATGTAGACATGCTGAAAAATCGTTATATACAATAAAAAAAAACAATCTGAACACAATAAACTTGAGGTTGTTGGCTTCCTGTAAAAGCCGTAGGACAATTGATATTTTGCACGCATGTTTCCATCCATCAACCCTCGCGATATGTACATTTTATTTCTCTAAAACTTCTTTTATTTACTTCTTCGTTTCGCTTTGCTTTGCTTAAACAAATCCGCAGAAGAAAGTGCGAAATTCCACAATGGATTGCATACGGAAAGTATTGCATTATTCACTCGCTGGAAGCCCTGGGATACTCGTGGCTTTTGTGCGAGCGTTCGAATGTGCAAGTCTGGATTGGGTGGTGAAGAAGAGATGGGCTGTTGAGGGGTTTTGCGGTGCGAGGTTACGTTGAGAGAGGAATGGGGTTTTGCAGGCTTTGGTAGAGGGGTGAAGGATGCGGTGACGGCGAATCCTGCAGGATGCGGCGGGTCGACGACCCACGGTGAACTGCATTGATGATGCTCCGATGCTGCTGCTGCTGCCGCTGCTGCCACTGCAGAGCCCTTCTGGCCCATCCTACCCTACGCCTGCTCCCGTTCCAATGCATGCAGTTCGCGAGTACATTTTCACGATGTGGGTCACATGAAAAATTCAATGCGGACCCAGAGCGTAACGAGCAAATTCTGCACATTAACTCATCCGACCGACACACACACACACACCTACCCATAGAGAAACGACCCAAAAACTGTTAAAACTGGGAAGAAGTTAAAAGTGGATGAGGGAAAAAAAATGGACGAACACGATGCAAATGTAGGCGGAGCAACGACCCCGCAGTTATATGAAAGTCCATGAAACCGTGCATATTTGATTATACAATTACAAGTTTCACAATTGCAACTGCGAAAGCTTCAAAACTAATTATAAACATTATATTAATAGTTAATTGTTTCATTAAACATTTCACCAAAAACAAATACAGAATTTTAATTTATAAAAATGTTATAATATAAATTCTATTTACTGTCATTTGTGTTTGACATGACATTTAATAATTAATTTGTAAAATAAAAACAACTACAATTTATGATATTTGACAACTATGAATTGATGGTTATGAATGGAAATAACCTTATTTAATTAGATAATTTGACATTAATATTTAAAAATTTGCTGAAAAGTACTGAAAATGCAAGTTTGATACTAAAACTGTTAAATAATTATTAACATTTGGCAATAAAAATTTGAACTTACAATGTAAATTTTATTTACTGACACATGATTTTGATATTGCCATGACGTTTGACAACAGGAGTAATTGTTATTAAATGTCAAAAACGTCATTTATATAATGAAAAGAAAATTATATTTGAAGTAGAATAGTAAATTGAATTTTTAATTTGAATTTTGTAATATGTGACTCAAGAATAGTCAAATATTTATTTACAAACTTTAATTCGAATTACATGTATTTTTCGTAAAAACGAAACTCATCAAGTAAGTTGTACAGGTACCTGCAATAACGTGCAGAAAAAGAAAGTTGTGAATCTGAAAAGACGTTTCACGTAAAGAAACAAATAAGCACCCATCCTTTCTTTGTTAGAATAACCACACCAGTTCTGGTAATTTTATACCTGGAAGGGTAAACATTAAATAATTGACTTAATCATCATTAGTATTTAACTATATTTTTTACAATTTGGAATCCACTTCAAATTGGCAAAGCTGTCAAACGTAACTTTTTTTTTAAATTAATATATATATTAATATCAGCTGTTACTTCAGGACTACCTGCCAACTATCCAAAATGATGTAATGTGAGGGTTGAAAAAAAAAACAGTGGTTGAGAAATACAAAAAAAAAAAAACTTTATTTTGTGAATTGCCAGAAATTATAATTTTGGAAAAAAAAAATGTGTAAAAAGCGAGAGAGATGACGCTGATAGAACTGTAAGCATGTGTCAAATTAATTTAGTGGTTGAGAGTAACTCGTGCATGTGAGCTGTGCGTGAGATGTTAATTAGACGACGAACGTTTCGCAACCTTTAGGATTGTTTGTCAAGTACGTGGTCGGAACATCGAGGATCGCGAAACCCTTCTAAATCCTTCCACTTATCGCGGAATATAACATCTGGATTGCTATTCAATATCACGTGTTTGCAGCACCGAATTGCGATGTTTTCCTTATACAAATCGACGTTCAATGACAACATCAACAGCACTCATCACATTACACGATCAAAATGATTTTTTTTTCAACTTTATCTATCTGTAGTTAACTTGTAATGAAAATATATGGATTTATCTTAATTTAAGGCACGGTTTCACTCATAATATATTTGTTATATTACAAATATCTTTCAAAAACTCTATTACATTTGATCATCTTATCGATGGCCTCCATCAATTGTGGAAACAGCTTGTTTATTACTTCAATGACCTTATTAAAGGCCATCGAGAAATAGTGAATCGAACGTCTCTTAAGACTGTTCAGATAATTCTGAAGTTTGGTCGTTTCCAATAAGCCCATCACCCTCAATTCTTCGTTCCAGCGCGTATAAACTGCGGTCCTAGGATCACCGTCGATTTGCTTCATGTATTGTTTGAGGATGCAAACGAATTTCTTACACTCCATCCGCAAGTAGACCAAGTCCAAATTCAATTCCTGTATAATGTCGTTCTTCGACATCGTCCTCCATTTGTTCAGGGTAGTGTAAATATTCGTTTGCGACGTGATCACCTTTTCCTTCAATGTGTCCAACGGAACGGTCAAATTCTCAACTGTACCAATACTGCATATTTCAATTACTTCCATCTTGCAATCTTATCCACCTTATGCTAAACTCGGGACCGAACTGTATTTGAAGACCGACAATTTAACACTGGTCAAGTTGAAACTTGCAACTTTAAGCGACCATTTGGACATAAAGTACCTGCACCGACCCTCAGTTACAATTGGTGTACTTTTCCCAAAAATTTCTAGCAAATGCCGTTACCGAGAATTTTGGTAATAAAGGTTTTTACTTAATTGAAAACTTACCTACTACATAGTAATTACTATGAATTACATCACAGATGCAAACTATTTCATATTTTTGATATTTTATTATCGTAACTACGATCAAATGTAAAACAATTACTACCTATGGGTCAAAATGACCCGTTTATTAAATATTTAGAAAATACAGTAAAATATTAATTTTTATAATAAAAACAGATTAATTCTTATTATTTAATGAATTTAACATCATTTAAAACTGATATTATTTCTCTAGGTATTTTTTTTTTGAGCAAGTAGAACAAATTGGCCTTTTGCATATATCACAAAACGTTGCTGTTTTGTTGTCGCTCTTGCTTGGACACAAAATATACCTATTTCTTTTCCTACTTGTTTTATCAAAAAATACTTAGAATTCTTCTTTAGAACACATTTGCTATAGACTCTACAATAAAATAAGCATCTCTCGTCGCGTCTATTTTGCTCCTATCGAAAAGTGCACTAGAAAATACTGGAATAGAGAGAACAATTAAATTACAATAAAAAGCGAATCAAAACAAATATCAGATAGATCACTTTGACCCATCCGCAGTACTTACAGGATAATAACGATTTTTTTTTAAATTCTTTAAATCCGCAATTTATTACATATTTACCATAAAACCTAATCTTTGATTTTTCAATTATTTCAAATTTGAAGGATTTCAATTTATATAAAATATTTTATCAGCACAAATTGATTTTTCGTATAACTTAAATCAAATTAATATTGTTTTTAGTAGTTTTTCTAATATTTATTAGTATATATTAATATACTAACATCTACTTGTAATTATTTCATTTATCATACAATAAGCTTAAACGTTAGAAAATCAAACTTTAGAATTATAAGAAAGAAACCTAATATTGTTAAAAACGTATATTTTCAATTGGAATAATATTATTATTTATTGAAATTCGCATTTTCCTTCGTTTTTTTTTTAAATAGTAAAATTAAAATACAAGAAAACATATTGCGGTTTCGATTTGTACGGATTCAATATAGTACGGTTTGAAAATTTCAAAACAAACTAAATTTTAATTGAGAAAATTATGTTTTTTGTATAAAAAATGATGATTTTAAAGTTCTCGATTAGTACGGTTTCAAACAGTGCCGGATAATGTCGGAACCGATTACCAATTTTATAATATAATTTTCTGTCTATGTAGAATAGGATTAAAGTGTACGTCATTGATGAAATTTCTCTTTGTACAGCTATAAACATGAATGAATGGGACACTATTGAAGCGTATTTTGTATTGAAATTAATAGCGTTTCTAAATATACTAAAGGGAATAATATATTAATTACACGTTGTCGAACAATTTCGACGTTGTTGCGTTCGCACGCGTTCATCCATTAATCGCACAATAATAGACGAACTGAAAGGGAAACAACAAATGAACAACATTTGCGTTCTTCGTTAATAAACGAAACGATAATTAGTGGCAACTACGTAGTCATCCGTTTATTGCGTAACCTCACCTCAGTGTTGTCAAACACGCGCCGAATTTAATGCCCTTTCAGGTGCTTCTCCTGTAAAGCCCCAAGACTTCCCCACTCGACGATATCATTATTATTTTTTTTTTATTATTGTTCGCGTCGGGGAAATGCGGAAAAATGAGCGCCCGTGCGTGATGGAATATTTCAAAGCCGCTTTCCCACATCGCCGGAAGAAGAAAACACAGAAAAAAAACACAGAATGGAAAACTTTTTAAATAAACTCTCGAGAAACGAATGAATGCATCCTTCGCAACTTACTCATCTCATACCATACGTGCTTATTCATAAAATCTTATATATAAAATACCTCTTATACGTAAAACTTCTTAAACATGAAACTTTGATTATGCTTTATCAACGTTGCTTATAAAGAAAATGTGTTAAAAAAATAATATTTCCAACTTACTAATATCTAACAAGAAAGTTCATATAGTGCGGAATCATTATAGTACAGTTTGAAAAAACTACTTTTTATAAAATGAAGTCTCTTTCTGTGATGTTTATTTTTATGCGTTTTTTAAGTCCTCAATTAATCCGGTGAAACCTGTTACACCCACTATTCCTTACATTTGTTAATCAATCACCATTAGAATTGATTTGAAATGAGTCTTTCATAATATTTTAAAATGCGCCATCTATTATGTAAAATTTGACCGAAAGACCGTCTATTGAAAGGCCGACGTTCGAAATCCCGACTGTGTATTTTATTATTATAATTTCTACAATAACATTTTATATTATTCTACTATATTTTAATAGGTAGGACGGATACTAAAAAAAATATTTTTAAGACTTAGGACGATGGATCTTTTGCCCGATTATTAATTGTTGTTATTTATTCTTAATAACAATAAATAATATTAATTATTATTGTATTTTTTTTTCGTTGACTTATTCATTATAAAACTTAAGAATAAGAAATATTCTATAATAAAATTAGTTTATGTTATTAACAATAAATAACAAAAATTAATAATCTTATTAAGTTTTAGATGTCGGGATTTCGATATAGTCGGGATTTTGATATATTCGGGATTTCGATACAGTCGGGATTTCGAACGTCGGGATTTCGATACACTCGGGATTTCGAACGTCGGGATTTCGATAGACGAGATTTCGGTTGTCGGGCTTGCGATTGCCACCGGGTGTAAACTTATAGAAATTTTGGAAATCGTCTTCCCGCTCACATATAAAAAGTAATCTCAGAAAAAAGAATGGAATTATAATAACAAAAAGTTTGGAAAACGGAATATATACACATACTACAAAATACTTGTAAAGTAACATGTCAAGTAAATATTTACAAACATTAATACAAGTGTGTACCCGAAGATTTGTAATTAATTTGTACTTAAGAATGTGAATCGATGTTGGTAATACTGTCTCAATTTTTAAATTAATTAATTTGATTTAAAATTAATTTATTACTTATTAATTAATTTCTTTCTACTTACGGTAAGATTTTGATTCACTTAAATCTGTTATTTTGTCGCTTTGTTAAAAAACAATGTTTATTATATAAAAAAGAGCATCGATATTTTGAAATTAGCATGCCGTGCTGGCACTTGTACCAACTTGAAATTAGTTATGTAACTTCATACAGTTGTTTTGTGTCACGTTGTTGATTAGCAATTTGCGTAGTAACGCGTTGTTACCATCTTTAGCACATTGACATCCTGATTTACAGTAAATAGTTCAAATCAGTTGACGAATTGCATCAGACCAGAGACTAACTTAAATTGGTTGAAAAACGTCCAGGATTAAGCATTAAAAGGTAAGGTCGACAAGTTTATTAAATTTCAATCAGAATTATAAATACTATTTTTGAAGAATTTTGATACACAAAACAATGTGTTCTGTTAGGTAACTAATTTAAAAAAGAAGAGAGTGCTTAAAGTACTATTGCTTCTCACATTCTTTATTAGATTTGATACTTAATTAAAAAAAAAATACAACGCAAAGTATATATTTCTTCTGCTTGTCATATTTGACAATCATATTGTTGTATACGTTTCATACGTCAATTTAGAGAAGAAACAATGGTTTTACATTACAAACCCGGATCAAAGATCACCTGGATCAAAATACAATATAGCAAAAGGGCGATTTCCATTAGGACAAAATACTTAATAAGTGGGTCGAGAAGTTTCGAATATAAAAGACAAAAAAAAAATAGCTCCATATAGACTTGTTACGCAGTTCATTTTAACATCATCAATGTTTGTATTGTGCGGTAATTGAGTGATGCAATCGGGTTAAATAAATCGGACAAACCATGAGCTTGTCATCTGCAGTAGCGGCGATTTTTATTTCAATTCTCTCTTGCTGCTTGCTGCTCACTGAAAACAGAGAAACCGTTTGAAACTAATTATTGTGGAACCGCGAAGGTTGCGCAACGGTCGCCGTATTTGACAGTCGTGTCAAACACACAGTTTACGAACAGCTGATGTCCAATTATTTATTGAATGCGGGTAAAAAGGGAAAAACAGAAAAATTGAATTTCGATCGGTTAAATCATCGCTTGAAATAAATCTTTTAAAAGTGTTTATCACGGTAATGAAAAGAATAATAATAATATGGTAGAAGATGAGAGAAACGTCCGCATAAACAACAAAGTAATTAGGGCTCGTCCTTAACATCGGAATTTGTAAGTCTTCCACAACATGTTTTCTTCGCGTCTAATTAAGTACACATTCAACATATAAACCGTTTAATGTAGGTCATTTTGTAACGTTCTATGAATATCTAAAACAATATTTATTATGTCAATTCAATCTATTATTTTTTTACTTTTCAATTTTTGATAACTAAATTAAAATTTATCACTTATGAAACTATGCTTTGAAGTACGTTCCATATGAACTCAGTCAAGAAGATAACAAAAATAATAATTTATTTATAAATAATTTTATCTTTTAGCCAGTTTATTTGTTACAAAAATATATGAATAAATATTTCATTTAAAATTATTAATAGTTTTGATTTTTTTTATAATTTTTTATTTATTATCAATTGAAATATATTTAGACAATCTATATCGATTAAATTCTAATAGTTACATAATATTTTATTGCCGTCGAATGTCAATTTAATGATAGCAATAAACAAATCACAAAACTTTATTTTTGAAAACAATTGAAATGGAACAATAGGAAATAAGTTGATAACTGAAAAAGTTATATTTAAAGTTGTAGACTGCACTTTATTATTTAACAAAACATGACCTAATCCAACATATGTAAACTTAAACCTACAAAGTGTTGTTTGCAAGTACAAAGTTATTATCAGTTAATAACAAAGTCATGTTGACCAAACATTTATATGCATTTGAGATAAAATAAAACGATTTTTGTACGTGAAGTGTAATTATCGTAGTAAATATTGACTCTATAAATCTATAGTAATCTTATTTATGGAATGCTGCAGTGCCAATATGAAATGAAACAAAGATTTAGATTTATGCAAAAATGTAAATTATTCATCTACAATTGGTACACACAACATACACACAAATTGCACATGTTATTAATATAAATTTTGGCTCATAAATATGTTGTCTGTTTTGTTCCAGAAATACTTTGAAAGTGTAACTTGAATTATAAAAAATACAATACAATTAATTTTTACTTTTATGAAGTTATTAATTTACTATGAGGATACTTGTAGATAAAATACAATGTTCTTATAAAATCTTATCTAATTATATTTTTTTCAGTAAATAATTGGATGATACGCGCGCATCAAAAACAACTCTCGATAAACAGCATTACGCGAGAGACGTTCGAGAGGTCAAGAACTTGATCGTCAACGTTCTGTGTTCGTAATTAAAGCGTGAATCAAGAGCGCATAATGGGCTTGAGGTGTTTATTATTTATTTGGTTGGCGGCGAGTGCAGTATCCGCGACGACGATGCCCGTAATTGGGATTTTGAGCCAGGAGGCTAAATCGCTGCAAAAGTACTTCCCTGATGTTCAATATCACAGCTACATTGCAGCGTCTTACGTAAAGTACATTGAAAGTGCCGGAGCCAGAGTCGTACCCATATGGTAACTATAAAATATCAAAATATAATAGTTTCGGTTTGTAATGAGTGTAATTTTAGGATAGGACGAGATGAGCAGTATTATAGCGATATAGTGAATAAAACCAACGGGTTAGTTAGTTTGATGCAACTTTATTTTGGTTTGTTATAAGTAAAGTTAAGAATTCTGTTTCCGGGTGGTGCGACTTGGTTTTACGATAAGAATGGATATGCGGACGCAGGTGAGATGATCTATAGAGCGGCGATCGCATCGAACGAAGCCGGACGTTTCTTTCCGCTTTGGGGTACTTGCCTCGGGATGGAGCTCATCTTTCACGTGGAGTTGGACGGGGTGAACGTTCGAGCGGATTGCGACAGTCACAAAATATCTTTGCCCCTGAAATTTGTCAGCGGTGAGTCGTTTCGCAACAAATTAATCAACGATCGTAAAAATACGTATTTCCAGATTATCGTCAAAGCCGTATGTTCAGAAACGCATCGGATCAGGTGATTGACGTGTTGTCGAAAGAAGACGTGACTGTGAACAGCCACATGTTCTGCATCACGCCGACAAACTTCACCAAGTTCGGGCTGGACAAGTCCTTCAAGTACATGTCAACGAACGAAGACGTTAACGGGTTGACGTTCATATCATCCTTCGAATCTACAAAGTATCCCTTCTACGGAGTGCAATTCCATCCCGAGAAGAATTCCTTCGAGTTCGTCCACAAGCAGGACAGTTACGTGAATCATTCGAAGGACGCTGTAACCGTGGCCCAGTACTTTGCCAACTTCTTCGTCGAACAAGCGAGGAAGAACGAGAACTCCTTCCCGACGCCGCAGGAGGAGTACAACCATTTGATTTACAATTTCCAAACGGAATTTCTGGCCTCGAAGGGCGCCTCGTATCAGCAGGCCTACATGTTCACGCAAGCAGACAACGAACGACGATGAATCGATCGATTACTATAAATAACTTTTGTTCAACATTTCATCGTCGATTTATAATTCGATGTTTGTGTTATGCAATACATTTTTTTGTTCGCTTTTCGTTCGATTATTTATTTTGTCACATCACAATAGTGATGCTGATGGTGACGATGGGGGAACGGATGCTATTTTACTTGTTGTCTGTCGTCGGTAAACGCGTCCGTCAGATCACATGCCCCACGGCAGGAACATGTGAAGGCATCGTTCGTTCCTATAAACACGCATTGAGGTGAATAACGTGTTTCCATATTTCTAAAAATTATATTGAAAAAGTATAAATGTGATCAGCTATAAATGGACAAGCGATTCAATTATATTAATAGCAAAAAAAATCATAGAAAATACCTTGCATTTAAATTTGAAAAAATATTAAAATATTTTCTTATTTATCTCAATAACCATACGTAACACAGCCACCAAAATAATGCTCCAACTAAAGATCAAATTATAGTCTTTAATAGCCCAGAAATTCCTAAATTTATAGTTGTCTATCAGAAAAGTACGTCAACTGTCCATCCTTTGAGATACCAGGTTAATTATTCTTTCCTGGTAATTTTCTAGAATATTATAATAATTCCTCACTAGATATGTTCAAAGTTGGTACATTGTGTGTTAAACAAGAAGAGTTAAAACAAAATTTGTACCTGTAATTAACTGTGAAAGTTGAAGAAACATCATTTAAAAATATCAATTTACATATAAATGAAATAAGATGACTAGAAACTTTATTTTCTAAAACATTACTTAAATAATTATTATTGACTAATATCGACAATTAACTTTAATTATAAATATTTTTTCTATTTAAAATAAATATTGTTATTTTACATCAATCAAGTCAATATATTTTTTTTAATAATCAAACTTATCTGTAAATAAATACGTACTGCTTAAAATATTTTTCAGTCAATAATCATAAATTAAATATTTTCTTCCTTCTCGATATTTATTTCTTTCCTATTTTCTTCCTCGTTGAACACATAGATCTGCTGCATATTGCCACCTAGTAGAGAGTAAAAAAGTGGGTTGTAGTTGTAAATTAAGTTGCGGTCCTCCTCGTCGACGCTGGAAAAGCTGTTCTTGTTCTCCCTGGCCTGGTCTACGAAGAAGTTGGCGAAATACTGCGTGACTGCGACGGCCTCCTTGCTGTGGTTCACGTAACCCGCCTGACTTGCGACGAACTCGAACGCGTTCTTCTCCGGATGGAATTGCAGTCCGTAGAACGGATATTTGATGGATTCGTATGAAGAGATGAACACCAGGCCGTTGAGATCGGTGTTCGTCGATAAACACTGGAAGGATTCGTGCAAACTGTATTCGGTGAACTTTTCCGGTGTTATGCAGAACCTGTGGCTGTTCAGCGTCACGTCTTTGGTTGATAAAATGTCTATTATATCATCGGAGGCGTTGGAAAACAGCTTGCTTTTTTGATATCCTTAAAATATTAAAGAAAAAAAGATTAATAGATGTAGTTGGCTGAAAACATTTAGATGGCAACACTGTCTTCGACAGTACTGTTTACCAATTAGAATTTTATTTTGGAATTTATTTTCTTCTATTGACACTACTTTGCCAGTAACTTAAAAAAGAGTACTGCAGTTAAATTGTGACTTTGAAATACAAAATTAACAATAAAATGATGATAACAAATAGATGGCAGCACTTGTATAAAAGATTGAATTTTTTTTTTATAGATGCAATAGCGACGTGATCATTAATTACAAATACTTTATATAAAAAATACATAAATTAGTATTACATAATGTATTACATATCAAAACCGGTTAGAAAAGCACCCCAATATACTAGCTATGAATTAGTTAGACAATAGTGGTACCTCCCATTGACTAAAACGGTATTACACTCTTGATCTCCCTTATAGATTTTTAAATTAATATTTATTTATATTATATTAGGTAATTTGGATGGTTTTCAATGGGAAACTATTCCGTTCAGTGTTATATTATGTTACAGTTCCAAAACTATTTACTCGTTGCCAGCATTTGGCAGATTGAGAATAATAAATTAATTTTTTTAAAAATTCATAAAATACTTTAAAATTTTAATGTTACAAAATTACCAAAATTCGTGTAAAAAAAATGCCAGTATTGTATGGTAATACAATTAATAATTTATTTTGACAAACTTCTCCAATATTGTTCTTTTCAAATGAAATAAATCGGTTGCTAAATGAACGGAATTTTAGAAATATCAAAAATATTGACTAAGCTTTGTTAGACAAAATACTTGCTTCAAAAGTAAGTCTATATCAATCAGACTAATATTAATATATAATACAGTAAAACGCTGATTATCTGTGGTAACTTGGGAACTTTAAAGTACGGATTATTGAAAAACACGAACAATACAAACATCGTTCTTAATATCTATGTATTAATATACGAAAACCACATTTGTAATCATTTTAAAAGGTAATCTGTAATTTTAATAGTTTTCAATTTGGTTTGGCAAAATTGTAAACAAATAATTTTATTGTTTAGCTTGCTTATAAACCACGGTTAACCCGAACCACGGTAAATTGAGACCTGGATAATCAGCGTTTCACTGTGCTCTCTTCATGCTGAATTTAATCAAATTTGATTGGTTCATTGATTATTCATTGCTATGGTTGCATAAAATTAGGAATGCGTTAGCTTGGTAACGCATAAACAATCAAATTCATCTCTCACCTTCAACAAAATGCAGCGGTAACGACACCCTGAAACTGTCGCAGTCCGATTGGAGTTGTTGATCGCGCTTCGCCTCCAAGTAGAGCATAAGCTCCATCCCCAAACAAATCCCTAACAGAGGAAAATGTTTTCCGGCTTTGTTCTCCTCGACGGCCATCTCGTAGATGAAGCCGCCCGCTTCCCCGTAACCCTTCTCCTCGTGGAACCAGGTCGCACCGCCCGGAAACAAAATTCTGCTTTCATCATCATCCAACAATGATCCAAAAACAAAGTGTTTCGCACACTTACCCGTTCGTCTTCTTCACCACCTGGCGATAGTACTCCCGATCCCTGCCGATCCTGTAACCACACAGACCATCTCAGTAAATAAACCCGAATGATAAGTTCGTTCTTGCTGATTGTTTTCACCAGATCGGGACGACCCTCGCTCCTGCACTTTCGACGAACTTTACATAAGAGGCGGCTATGTAACTGCGGTATAATCCCTTCGGCAGATTCCTGGACTCCAGAGATATCGTCTCTTGACTCAGAATCCCTATGATCGGCATTGTGCAACCACTGATCGCAACACAAACTCAATTAACGCACGTTCAAACAGTATTCGATTACGATGACATAAGCATACGTGATATTATTGAAATCAATTTAAAAAAAAAAAATAAAACAAACAACTTACGCTCTGCACATCTTCAACATCCGAAACACAACCCTTTGAAGATACATTAAACCTAATTTCTACAACACTTATTAAGAATAATAAGAACATCTACAATGGACAATATACAATATGAGTTTGTATAGAACGAATTTCAATAAAAATATTTGTACGCTTTATCACAGAACTTTGAAACTTCTTTGTTTTCCTCTATTGTACAATTAATTTTGTTGATTCGTTAGACCTGCAATTCTCTTCTTATTTATTAAAACGCATTTGTCACGTATCCATCAAACAAAGACTTAGCTTATGGGAAAATACCCAAAAAACGGTTAGAAATTATCACAACACAAACTGGACCCTGTTCGATACTTAAAAAAAAAACTTAGGTAGAAAAACGTCTCCCACCAAGTCAAAACTGATTTCCTTTCCCCGAAAACATACTCCCACCCATCCCCTTTCCGAAATGGACATATTTTGTGTATAAAAATTTAGTCTTAGTTTGTGGCGTTGATTATCGAGGGAAGAAAATTACTCCAAATCTTTAACTGGAGAAAAGTATATTCGTAATTTGTTAAAACAACACTTGTTTTAGTTGATTTCTACAAAAAACATTGATTTTATTAATAAACTTACTTAAATATTGTCGCGGCCTACCATTTTTTTTTTATCATCTATTGTATAATTACATATATATTTGTTAAGTCTACCACATAATTAAGAATTACATATTATATTTCATGTATCCATCAAATACACAAACTGATACTTGTTCGTGATTGTTTAGAATAACATGTGGAATATTCCGAAGAACGGATACACATTAAATCTTATAGTTGCGTCTATTTTATCAACACTCAACAGCCTTCTTCCGCCCTTAAATATTTGGATATGGTCATAAAACTTAGATAAAGAAACGGTTGTATTTTCCACAAGGTCAAAACTGATTTCCTTACCTCCCACGCAGCCCCTTTTTCAAATGGATACGTTTTTGTATTATATAAGACAATCTTAGTTAGGCGTAGTTAGGGCCTCGAACAAAGAAGGCTTAGTTGGAGGGTTGAAGTGTGAATATGGTCTTTCTTGGAGAACACTTGCTTCGTAATTATTAACTTAAAATAATGTAACTTTTAGTTAATAATCCATGAGATCAACTATTGTTCAATAAAAACTCTGATATGTGTAATAAAACTACACAACGACACAACTACGAGATAATCCACGGTGTCCAGAGATTCCTTAATCCCGGGACACGAGAATATATTTGTACCCCTTTAAGATACATTTATGCTTTTCCAGATTTAATTTAAAAAATTATACAAATAAAATGAATATACTAATGTTATTTGTACAGCAAGCAACAAATAATTTTAATTTGCATATAAAGTTAGATGTGAAATATTTCTATTTGATGGAAGAAATAAACGCATACTTGATTTCAACACAATAATATGAATCATTCGTTGGATACGAAAGATATGACATACTAATGATAATACTTAGATAAATAATCTTCTTTTATTAAAAATAATTAAGTTTATTTATTAAATTTAGTAATAATGACAATGACATTACGTTTTTTTGTTTTCAAGGCTTTCTCGAAAAGTAATTTTAGTCTTTAATTACTGCCTTACGTAGCAACTCCTTTAATTCAGCTTTTTTGTTTGGGAAATTATTTTATAAAGTTAATGTACAACAAAAAAAAATATAAGAGAAATTCGGATTCCTTTTCAAAAGATTGCACTAACAATTATCGTCAGTTATTTATTCTGATCATATATATATTTAGAGAGAGTGAGACGAGTTCCTACCTTTCGCACATAACAAATACACTGGACAACAGCTTACAATAAACGTATAATGAAAATATTCACGAGCTGCGATCGCACCGCGCTTGACAATCCTACTATTATTGTTTGCGATGACTTATTTGTGGTAGCATATCAGACTGGTATCAGGATGCATCATAAATGTATAAAAATAAAACACATATTTTTAATGAAAATTTCAAAAAAAAAAAACTTAATTACATGTTTTTTGTTTTAAACATAAATTTTTAAATTATGAATAGAGGAAATTTTCTTGTTTCGGCTTTATCTAAAGTAATAATAATAATACTCTTTATCTGCAATCATTTATAATCTGCGTTTATCAGTTCATTAAGAACTTTAATGACGTAAACCAAAATCTAATTATTTTTTAATACAATTCGACCTTTCCTTTGTGACATGGTTTAATAATACAACTTTTGACCTACATTTATTTGTGCATCAATTTAAATTAATTTAATTGAATGCATTTCAAACTGTAAATAACAATTTTATTATAATTGATAATTTTTGTTTTCTAATGAATTTACATGGAAATATGTTATTATTGGGTTTTTGAATAATTGCATTTTTTTTTGTTAAATTAATTTATTTTGAAAATATGTGTGTAAAATCTGAAGTGAAAGCAAGCTCCATCTAGTGGTTAAAAGTACAAAATATATTGATTGATTGCTGTGAGCTTTGGTTGGTAGTTTGGATAAAAAAAAAAGAATTCAACTAAATTGTTTAATGTTTACAATTAGGATTTAGAACTGAAAATGGCTACTAGTTATGTAACAAATGAAATAAAACAAAGCTAATTACTTTATTGCAGAAAATTAAATATAAATACAAAAAAAAAAGTGATTAGAACGTGCACTAATTACAATTGTTAATAGCTATGTTTATATTGCATTTACATTTACCATAAAATTGCACTAATGTAAAGTAATATCTTTCTTTTTTTTTTGTAGTGACTTCCAGAAAAAACTGATGACGTTCGGATTCGAAGCTAACTTCGTCGCCATGCAAAATAACTCTTGTTGTTTTGCGTTTTAGGTTATGTTATTTTTATTTTTTTTTTTGTTGCGAAGAAAAAGTAATTTAAATGCCCCAAGAAGCGGCGATCTAGATTCACCGCAAACTCGCTTCCGTTTGTGAAAATGCTAGATGGCTGGTACTGCAGATCCCTCGCCAACGAGCAAGCAGCGGCCGAAGAGCAGGAACGCGTCCTGGAGGAGTCCAAGCTGAAGAAGCAATACAAATTTTTAAAGGGCAAACTTAAACATTTACTTTACGTGAGTACGCAGCTGGTAGATTACGTGCGACGTGTTAATTTCGATTGTTTTGTTTTGTTAGGAAAATGAGTGCTTCCAGACTGCCTTGCGATCATCGCAAAAGAGGTTGCTCATGGTCACCAGAGATCGGAGCTTCCTCTTAGATAGACTGGTTTTGTACGAGAAGCCAGATAATTCCTCATCAGAATCTGAAGACACTGAATCTTCGGATGATGAAAATGTTAAAGTTGAACCAACGAAAAAGTAACTTGTTTATTGGTAGACTTAAATCTTAGATGAAGAAAATATTGTTTTTTTTTTATTTTGCACAGGAGGAGAGTAGATTTTACAAATTCACACAATCATGTACAAAGTAGTGGTAAGTCCATGCCACAAGTGAAGAAGAAAAGGCCCCCACCGAAACCTAAAGCTCATTTCTCTCATAACATTGTAAGTATTAATCCATCACATGTAAAATCATCATTTCAAACATTTTTTTGGAATTACCAAAACTTCATTTTTCAATAATTTTACTATAATCATACTAAATTAATGCAGAATAAAACATATTTAAGCTATAGTTGACACGTTACAAAGAAATGATTGGAACAAATTAATTTATGAACAGGAGAACAACAACAAAAAAATCTATAATTGACTTTGATTATGATAAAAATTGAATTCTAAATTTTATTCATGATTGTCTCATTTCAATTAGGTAGTAGAAAACCATAAGAAATGCAGCATAATAGATTGAGATTGTTTACCGTATTGTTTTTTTGTTTCTTTCTTTTTTTTCGAATGCAGTAAATATCCTCACTTCTTTACACACTCTTTATTTTTGTTTTGTTTGTTTGTATCACTGGATGCGAGATGAAAGCCATTAGTCCTAATTTGTGGGCTGTGGCTCAGAAACACTGCTTTAGAATATTTGTTTATCGAAATCCAATGTTTTAGGTGATATAACATTAGCAGTACGCTCGATAACTGTTACTAATTGGAAAATGATTTCAGCTGCATAATATAAACACAACAACCTCGAATAATGTGATTTTATCGGACGGACATATGACTCCTGAGGAGGTGGAAAGGCATCTACAGTCGCGGCAGAGCTTCTTGGAGTTGGAGAGGGCCCCATTGACGGTGCCCACGGAGATGTTCAGCAATGAACCATCGCTGGATAGGTTCGTTTCAGATCCAAGTTGAGTGGTGTTGCCTTACTTTTTTGGTATGTTTCAGCGAATCCAACGACATCGGCGAATTGGAGACCTCGCCCAGCAACATGGGAGAGGAACTGAGTATCGACATGATAAACGAATGAGCGCGAACAAACGTCTTTTTTTATATATATAATTGGGTTTAGTTTAATTTATGACTTATGATGATAGCTAAATAATTGATTAAATGATGAGTAATGAACTGAAAACGATGCATTAGTTTTATTTATTTATTTCATACTTTTTATATCCTTAAGACCGATTATTAAAAATTAAGTCTATGAACTTTCCTTGGATGATTCCTTTCACGGGTTTGAAGCACACTAATATTATAAAAAATACTATTCCTTGCATTGCATTTATTAAGTCGGCGACCATCCAAACTATTTGCTTAGGTCTATTCACCACAAAACTTACCAGTTCTATTAAGCAACAAAATGAGTTTAAGGTCCAAAGCAATGTATTACTTAGTACACTGAAAAAAAAGAAGACTGATAAGGACAATGTTTAATAAATTTGCAGTAGTATTTTGACTTTGTCAGAAAAGGATCAACTATCACCAGTCAAAATACAATCCGCGCATCGCGTTGCTTAACTTTCTAAAGTTATCATGGTTACAAACAACCATTCGTTTTGTAACAAATTCAACATCTATTTAGATGTGAATGGAAATGAAGTCATAAAGAAATGACAGTAATAGCATGAAATAAATGCATTATATACATACATGTTCTTGATTTCATTCTTTTCTGATTCCCATTCATCGGTAGAATTGGCATTAAGAGACCAGATCAGAATCTGCGCAACAGCGCAAATTGACAATCCGATGAGCGAAGACAATGCCTGTGGTCCAATGAAGAACACCACCTTTTTATCAGCTATACGAATACTTTAGTCGATTGCATCAATCATAACGGATACTTGCTTGTGAACCAGCTGAAGTCACTTTCAAATGTCTGATCCGAGAATCTCGGTGGCACAAATCTGTCCACGAGCACGGAAATCATCAAGAATATGCTGGGTACGCAGATTGAAAGTATGAATGTTACCAAGACACGCCATCCCGGTTGGTTTTGGTTGAATTTTCTGAAATCAAAACTATGAATTAAACTAAAAATAATCAATAATTAATTAATAGATTAGTACAATACTTTGTAGAGGCCTTCGGCCATCAAACAGCAGAACCACGTGCATGCGCTCACCAAGAAGAATTGAAAAATATAGCCTGAAAGAAGCTTTGCATCTTGTGAATAGGTCTATTACGATGGACGTAAGTGCTACCTAGTAATGCGTAGTTACCAGCGTCCGGAGGTATCACCTTAGCAGATCCCAAAGAGAAGTACGCAATTGCCTGACACAAGCAGTAACCGATGATTAGTAATCCCCGAACGTTTCGAGCATCCTGTACCAACAGGAACACAATCATCACGAAGATTAGAAAAAAACCAGATACAAACGTTACTGAAAATAAAATAAAAAATAATACTTTTACAGTCAAATAATCCATAACTTACATGCATTGGTACAACCTGTGATAAGATGTGTATTCAACATAATTAGTATAGACGTCTCTTTGGCCTATTCGTATTATCACTTTTCGCACTGACCATCATCAACTTTGATGGATTGACAATTGATTAATTATAAAAGGTGCCGAAGTAAATTGAAACCATAGCAACAACATTTATTTTCTTTTGTTCAATAAACATTTATATTATTTTTTTGACAGTTTCTGAAAGTTAAGCAACGTGTGCGGATAGAACTTGGATCGGTGACCAGAAGTATTTGGCAAATCGTGAATAATCGATAGGTAAGTGATTATATTTTATTATAGTAATCACCGATAATTTATAAAGAAAAATTGTTACAAAATTGTATCTATTTATAAATTATAAAAAGTGCTTATTTGAGTATTGTATAGAGTTGTAATGGAAAGGTTTTAAATAATCAAATATAAACCATTAGATTTTACAGTCAACCTTTCTATTCGTCTGCCAAAGTATTCGAGGTAGATGTATTAACTAATACCATTCATTCCTTTTTATGTAAACGCTAAAAACAACGCTGTCGCGTTATAGGATGACTACAGTGAGTCCCAAAGTGGTCTATATCGACCCCCAGGGGTCTATGACAACCTGCAAGGGGTCTACGTCAGCGAAAAAAAAATTTGGGGGTTCATGAAATGAAAATGGGGGTCCACGATAGTGGATCTCAACCGGTGGCAATCGAAATCCCAACAATCAATATCCCGACGGTCGAAATCCCGACTGTATCGAAATCCCGACTATATCAAAATCCCGACAACCAACTGAATCAAAATCGCAACTGTATCGAAATCCCGACAGTGTGTTTTATTATATATGACCGCCAAAACAGAAGATTAATGAGTTATCTTCGCGGAATAGCTCATAGTGTTTCATTATAATTATTTTATACATTTTTGTTTTATAATAAAGATAATATTAAAAATTCATCGCTCGAGTTTTTTATTTCTAAAATATAACGGGGGGAGTTGAGATTATTAATTGTTATTGTATTTGATTTCATTGAATTATTCATAATAAACTTTGACAATTTGAAATAATCTGAAATGTAATTAGATTATTAATTGTTGTTATTAACTATTAATAACAATATACATTTATTATTTTATTTGTTTTCATTGACTTAACAAAACTTAAAATTCAGAAATATTTATTGTTATTAATATTAAATAATAGTAGATGGTGACATGGCGTTTCGGAATAATTTAAAAATGTTATTGTATAAATTATAATAATAAAAGATACTGTCGGGATGTCGTTACAGTCGGGATTTCAATAGTAAAAGTATCTATGAAGTAAAAAAAATATTATATATGTTTATAAAATTGTGTAAGTTGTAGGATGTAGGCATTCGCTTTGTGGTCGCAATACATTTTGAACTCGTAAAAACCTGCACATAATGATATACCAGTATCATCTTGTTACAAGCATAAGCGCAGTCTCAGAGCAAAGATCTTAATAATTATAAAGATGTCCCAATATAAATAATAAATTTACAAAAAATCAATATCAGGTAAGTAGGGGGTCTACCCAAAACCGAAAAACATGGCAAGGGGTCTACGACACAAACAAGTTTGGGAACCTCTGCTTTACTATATATGACCGCGTTATGAGAGGACCGTGTTATAAGATGCTTTACTATATATACTTTGTTAATATTAGTGTTCAAGTAGGTAAGATTAAATAAATACACAGATAAATTAAACTTTTTTTATTTATAAATACATTATATTTACGAAATCTTACAAAATTAATATATTAATATGGCACGCGAAGATCGCATTCTCACTATGGATTCAGATGGGTCATTTCGCTGGGCGAGTAGGTTTCCTTAATTGGACTTTTTCCTATCAACTGATTCCACCGGACCTTCAGTATTCCAACGACCGGATTGTGCAGTATAAAGATGATGAAGACGAACAGACCTTGCAGGGACTGAATGACATCGAGTGCGATCCAGATGCCGGCACCAGTATCGTAAAAGTACGAAATCACTTCGGCGATCCAGCATGCGGTCATTACTGCCAAGAGTAGATAACATGACCGGAACCTGAAAGTTAAAAAAGACAGTCACAGTAAATGCAACCGATAATAATCCACGTCATCGTTTTCCGCTTACACATTTTTGATGCCGTTTCCTACCGAAGTCCACGAAGGGTGCGGTCTATTGTTTTCAATTTTCCTGATTTTGTAATACGTCAACCCGGTGAATATTATCCCAAAGAGTATTGATAAGACAATAGGAAGATAATAGAAAACGACCTTTTTATCAGCTAAAAAATAACATTTTTTTTTGTAAGCAAATTAAGAAGATCGAACGTAAGTAAACTTACACCTAAACCAGCAGGAATCTACACTGTATTTGGGGTTGGAGAATTTGGAAGGCACTATATCGTTTATTACCAACGAGAGAAGGAGAAACAGAATGGGAATACCGACCGCAATTATACCGTTGATTAGGGTACGCCACTTCCAGTGATGATTATTGTAGTTTCTGTAAATAATTGAGTTTATGTAAGGATTAAGTAAAGTGATGTTGATTGATAACTTACACAACTTGGTAATAAGTTTCCACGATCAAACAGCAGAGCCAAGAGAAAGCAGACACCAGGCAGATTTGGTAGACGTAACCTAGCACGTTAAATCTTGCTTAATATTGTTCATAAATTTAATTTAGTTTTTAGTATTTCAATTACCAACTCCCGAGCAAAATTTATCGTTCATATCAATTAGTTTGGCGGTGGAAAGACATATGAAGGATAGAGCCATGGTTATGCTGTAACCCACGACGTTCAAACCTCGCACGTCTCTGGCGTCTTTGATGAAGATGAAGATTCCGCTGGTGATAATTAAGAAGAAAGCAGATACGTAGATGCCTGAAACAAGTGGAATGTTTCAGATTTAATGCATCGAGATGTCATTTGTCCTATATACTTACAACTTGCAATGAGGATAGCTACAAATTTGGGCTTGTTCTCTTCGGGAAAACACAGAAATGCTGTCATTATCCAACGCGGTTCGCCGGTTTCTTGATCGGAGAACTCGAGCGGATCGAAACAATACTTATCCTTTTTATATAGCTGATCTTCTACCAATAGTTCACCGCTCGTGAGCAGCCGGAATTCTTCGCTCAGAGGATCCAAATAATACCTGAAAGCAAGCATCTAGTAAGTCAATAATTTTAAACGTGCAACGTCTCGGTTATCTCTCACATTCCGCTCGGGCATTTTGGCTGATACGTGTACGATCTGTACATTACATGCGGAATTGCTTCGTCGTCGAAGATTGTATTGTTACCTTCATGGTAATCGGGCATTTGGGGATCGACGTTATTGAAAACGCAACCTTTGGGGCTCTTCACGTAACCCTCTTGGCAGCATCTCTGCATTATCGCCACTCTTTTCCCGGATTCCTGCGCAGGTTAATCGATTAACGAAATTATTTGCTAATTATATAAGAAAAACTTACACTTTCTAGGAACATTTTCTTTGGCGTGATTTGATCAACATTGATTAAGTTGGTGTAACCGAAATTATGTTTATATTCGATACACCATACACCGAAGTAATCGATATTCTTGACTGTGATACCTTCGGGAAGACGGATCAGAACATCTTCGCCGTTGTAACTATTCAACGTGTCGCGTGAGTCATGCTCGTTAGGAACCAAAATCCCGTTCTGGTCAGGACCGGAAGATCCGTTTCCGACCCAGAAATGAGCATCGGGTCCTTTACCATCGTAATGAAGATTCGTCACGAAGAACGTTTTCTCGTCCAGGATTAATATCGGACCTGATTTCAGTCCGTGTGCCAGTTGACTGAACGGAGGTAACATCCCAAAATTAGAATTGGAACCGATCTGCCTCTATATGAAATGATTTAATCACTTGAAATATTGCATCAATCGTTGAGAGAAGTACCTACGTTTCGTTTAATACTTTTTGGTATGCTCGTATATCCGAAATTTGCACTGAACTCGATGCACCATAGCCCTATGTAATCAATGTCGTGGACCGTGATTCCTTTAGGAAGATTGATGACGACGTCTTTTCCTTTGTATCCATTGAGGTTGCCCATCGAACCATTTTCGTCCGCCACTAGAATACCCTGCCTGTCGGGACCTTTAGTACCATTTCCCACCCAGAAGTGAGCGTCCGGTCCTATTCCATCGTAATAAAGATTGTTTATGCGTATGGAAGTCTCGTTTAAGATGAAGACGGGACCCGATCGAACTCCGTGCTGCAAAGAACTTAGAGGTTCCAATTCGAAGAGAGCCGCAAATGCCTGCCAAAGAAATACAACATATATGTGAGGAGATTTACAAACATATTTGAAAGTTCGTATACTTTTGAATGCAAGTTAATTGAACCGACATTGCCCCTAAGCGGGCTCCAAATACCAAACACATCGAAATCCTTAACCTCGAGCCCATCCGGCACGGTCAACCAGACATCATCACGACTGAAATTACCGAAATTCCCGTCGTAGGGCAACAAATAGTTCAAGTTGGATGGTTCGAATCCGAACCGAAACTCGCCATCTCCAATGTAACTCAGCTCTTCTACAAGCAGGACGTTGGGTTTCATGATTTGAACGCTCTTCGATTTGGCGAGACCGGAGAGACCGGGCAACGTCACCGGCTCAAAACTGAAGACAGAGTCTACGTCCAGAATGCTCTGCAAGAAATACAAGCCCCGAGTAATGAACGTTTAATTCGCGGTTTAATCAAAGTTACTTTATCGGCTCTCTTAAGCCGTACGTGACCGATGTCTTCGTTATCGAGAACGCAGATGAGTGCGAAGAGATCGAATCTCGATGCTTCTTCGGTGACGGCCAATTTTATGGTATCGGAATCGTATCGGTGCAGCTTATTATCCGAACCGTTTTCATCCAGGAGAAGAACACCGGATTTCACGTCCGGAACATCTCCGGTGCCAAGCCAGAAACGGACATCTGGTCCTAAACCATCGTAGACGAGATTCGTCACCAGTAGGGTCTTTCCATCATTCACAAATTGCACGTTGCTCGCGCTCAATTCGTGACTTTTCCCTATCAACCTGAACACATCTTCCTGCAATTATCAATTTGTAAACTTCTACAATCATCTCATTGCAACTCCTCTATCACCTTCCAATCATGAATCAACGTTTTAAGTTTATTTTTTATTTAAATGAATTTCAACTGCAAACCCAAACTTATATGCATTTAATGTTTCAGATAAGAATATGTATATTACTTAATCTTATCCGCTTTTCTAATCCAACTTAATAACTGTTTAATTCTGTTGTTAAACAATATTCGCAGTATTTATGTTAATTAATGATAAACGTAATTTGATTAGAATTTGTTAACTGTTTAATAATATTTAATTAAGTCCAAGTCGAATTCATTAACAATGATTCATAGTTATTTATTTCAGTTTTCTATGTGTAATATTTAATCTAGATGATAAAAATAGAAAGACGTCACATATTGCTGCACTTCCAGAACGTTTATAGATTGAATTAAACAAAAATCCACATGGCAAAGTGGACCAAATTCAACAAATTTGCTTTGTTAGTCATAAAGTGAGTAATCCATGCAATAATAATCTTATGTTAACAAATATTGTAATAAACGATGAAATAGGATCTTCAGTTAATTAATTTTAACACTAATTCGTTATGCAACAAAAACACTTTTATGCAACCAACATTCTTGATTGTAACGATTGTCTTGTATATTTTAGATCTATGTATAGATATAAAATCGTGCAAGATAGATCTGAGATATTTTGCTAATTAATTTCTCTGCTTCCATATATATTGCGTAAACAGTATTATCTACATCTGTATATTATCTATATGCAAGCATTTTCAAAAAGTATTTGTTATATAACAATTATTGCGTAACACATCAAAAGAAGTGGAAACTGGACTGCGAGTTAATTGGTTAGGAGCAAGTGAAAACTTTGATCTAATCGCACACACTTTAACGCTATAAAAAAAACTAATAATGTAATTGAAACAATTTCAATCATGGCTTGTGATCATAATTAATAAACGTGCTGATGATACTCGTAACTACACAATCGATCTATGTTTTCGATAGCAACGCGTTTCGAAACAGAAAACAAAACAGAAAACGTGATTGGAAGGTGAGAGTCGCCGCCGTGCATTGTGTTGTTGCTTCAATTGAACAAATCAAAGGATTCACAAAACATCACGTCATTGTAGTAAGTCGAAACGCGTTTCGCATTTGTTTGATTTGTTTTTTTTTTCTTCCAATTTTTTTTTAATATGGTTGACTCACTGACTGGATTTTCGGGATCACCAACAGAAGTAGTAAAGTAAACACGATCATCGCGCACATTCGATCAATCCGCAACTGAAGGCGAATTGTATATGAAAATCGTCGATATCTGATATATAGATAACTCGATAAGATTGGATTGCATCATCATTCCAATTAGGTGTTTTTCTCTAATACATATTTTACATGTTAATCATCGCAAGTATATAGCTGAAAAAAAAATGTATTGCAATGGGAAAACCGTTTGAGAAATCTGCACAACATTTTTCTGTGTGTTTCATACTTTGTATGGATCTTAACTGAGAATGCTACAAATCGGTGATCCATACATACTCAATAGCGATTTTATGTTTTATCTACCCCTTTTTTATGTCGGGAAGTTTATCTGATAGATTGTATGTGGAATTTGTATACAGTAATGTATGTTAATAATTTGTATACAAAATAAAAGTTGCAAAGAAATTCAAATAAGCAATAATTATTGGATAAAAAACCAAATTATGTAACATTCTTCGTTGGACACAAGTTTTTAGTTTTACTAATTATTTTTCTAATGAATTTCTATAATTAAACGCAAAATAATTCGAATTTTACAAATTCTTGAGTTTATGAATTTGTTCTCTTCCATTTCGACTTACGAATTGCAGACTTCACGGATTTGTTCTCTTCGAATTCATACATAGGTTTGGACAGCAGAACGGATTTTGAAATCAATGAACGTGTTTCCGATTTACGAAGTCTCGAGTTTGCAAATTTGTTCTCTTCGGTTTGGACGATTTTATAATTATTAATCAATTTGGACATCACAAAAGAAGGACAAACATTTTCAAAGAAATTAGAACTGATTATGAAATGAATGAATATGATTAAAATTAGTTTCCGATTCACAAATAGTCCACATTACTTTTGTGTCTTTTCGGGATTGGATGATTTTATAATGGTTAATCAATACAACGGTTTGGAAAGCAAAAAAAAATTAAAATTGATTTAAATAAATTTTCAACATACGAATTGCCGAGTTTACGAATTTATTCTTTTCCATTTAGTTATTTTGCTAAGTAATGAACCAAAATACAATTTGGAAAGAAGAAAACAAGGAGAAACATTGATATTATCAAAGAAATGATTATGAAATTAATGAACATTATTGAAATTAGTTTTCGATTTACGAATTCTCAACATTATATTTGTTTTTTTCGGGTTTGGACGATTTTATAAGAATGAATCAATCAATGCAACAGTTTGAACAGCAAAAACAAGGAAAAATTTTGATTTTACTAAAGAAAACTGATTTCGAAATGAATTAACCTCATTTAAATCAATTTTCAACTTACGAATTGCCGAGTTTATGAATTTATTTTTTTCCATTTAGTTATTTTGCTATGTAATGAACCATTATACAATTTGGAAAGAAGAAAACAAGGATAAACATTGATATTATCAAAGAAATGATTATGAAATTAATGAACATTATTGAAATTATTTTTCGATTTACGAATTCTCAACATTATATTAGTTTTTTTTCGGGTTTGGACGATTTTATAACAATGAATCAATCAATGCAACAGTTTGAACAGCAAAAACAAGGAAAAACTTTGATTTTACTAAAGAAAACTGATTTCGAAATGAATGAACCTCATTTAAATCAATTTTCAACTTACGAATTGCCGAGTTTATGAATTTATTTTTTTCCATTTAGTTGTTTTGCTATGTAATGAACCATTATACAATTTGGAAAGAAGGAAACAAGGTAAAAAATTAAAACTCATTTCGAAATGAATGAACATCATTTAAATCAATTTTCAACTTACGAATTGCCGAGTTTACGAATTTATTCTTTTACATTTAGTTATTTTGCTAAGTAATGAACCAAAATACAATTTGGAAGGCAGAAAACAAGGAGAAACATTGATATTATCAAAGAAATTAGAAATGATTATGAAATGAATGAACATAATTTAAATTAGTTTTTGATTTACGAATTCTTAACATCGCATTTGTTTCTTTTAGGGTTTGGACGATTTTATAACATTGAATCAATCAATACAACAGCTTGGACACCAAAAACAAGGAAAAAACTTTGTTTTTACCAAAAAAATTAAAACTGATTTCGAAATGAATGAACATCAATTTTCAACTTACGAATTGCCTAGTTTACGAATTTATTCTTTTACATTTAGTTATTTTGCCATGTAATGAACGAAAACATAATTTGGAACGCAGAAAACAAGGAGAAACATTGATATTATCAAAGAAATGATTATGAAATGAATGAGCATTATTGAAATTAGTTTTCGATTTACGAATTCTCAACATTACATTTGTGTCTTTTCGGGTTTGGACGATTTTATAATGGCGAATCAACAGTTTGGACAGCAAAAACAAGGAAAAAACTTTGATTTTACCAAACAAATTAAAACTGATTTCGAAATGAATGAACCTCATTTTAATCAATTTTCAACTTACGAATTGCCGAGTTTACGAATTTATTCTTTTCCATTTAGTTATTTTGCTAAGTAATGAACCAAAATATAATTTGGAAAGAAGAAAACAAGGAGAAACATTGATATTATCAAAGAAATGGTTATGAAATGAATGAGCATTATTGAAATTAGTTTTCGATTTACGAATTCTCAACATTATATTTGTTTCTTTTCGGGTTTGGACAGTTTTATAACGATGAATCAATCAATATATCAGTTTGGACTGCAAAATCAAGGAAAAACATTGATTTTACTAAAAAAAAATAAAATTGATTTCGAAATGAATTAATCTCATTTAAATCAATTTTCAACTTACGAATTGCCGAGTTTACGAATTTATTCTTTTCCATTTAGTTATTTTTCTATGTAATGAACCAAAATACAATTTGGAAAGAAGAAAACAAGGAGAAACATTGATATTATCAAAGAAATGATTATGAAATTAATGAACATGATTTAAATTAGTTTTCGATTTACGAATTCTCAACATTATATTTGTTTCTTTTTGGGTTTGGACGATTTTATAACGGTGAATCAATCAATACAGCAGTTTGGACAGCAACAACAAGGAAAAACTTTGATTTTACTAAAGAAAACTGATTTCAAAATGAATGAACATCATTTAAATTAATTTTCAACTTACGAATTGCCGAGTTTACGAATATATTCTTTTACATTTAGTTATTTTACTAAGTAATGTACCAACATACAATTTGGAAAGAAGAAAACAAGGAGAAACATTGATATTATCAACGAAATTTGAACTGTCTTAAAATTTGCAAATTTTACGTATTTGTTCTCTTCTATTTGATTATTCGAATGAATATTCGATGAATCAAAATACAGATTGGAAAGTTTTTCTTCGATTTCACGAATATAATATATTCTATGAATCTAAAGAGGGTTTTTTACATCAGGAAACAAGTAGAAATATTGAAATTGTCAATGAATTCAATATTCATTTCTAAATGACTAAACGTGATTACAAGAACTTTTTAACTTACGAATTGCACTTAACGAATCTGGTTATTCATTCATGAAATACATTTTTGACATCAGAAAACAAGGAGTGACATTGAAATTATTCAAGAAATTAGAAATTTTCAACCTACGAATTACATTATTATTACTGAAATTTATTAACAAAATAATAAAAATGATTCTCGTATTAGAAAAAAAAGTTGGTAACTTCAATAATATGACTAACTAATATGTGCTTTACATCTGTCATTATACAAACAATATTATGTTCTTATCAATTTATTCGATAAAAATGTAATATGTCAGCAGCAAATAATTGTATTTATTCAACGTATGCAATATTTGCTAAACATCTACAACAATACCTCGAATAGTACGGCTTCGATCAGTGCGGATTCACAGTTGAAAGATAACAAAACGAACTAAATTTTAATTGAGTAAAAGACAAATTGGTACAATTTCTTTTTTATATTATCGTATTTTTTTCCTCCACGCATATAATGTTCTCGATTAGTCCGGTTTCAAACAGTCCGGGTTATTATCGAAACTGATTACCCTCAATATACTTCACATTACATGATTTGTATTTTCCTGACTTTGATGAAATGTTAATCTAATTGTACAGTTCTTTGTACAATATTAATGTTCTGAACAAGAAGCGTGTATTAATATTCCGTGGACAACGTTTATTTGCAATCAATGGCTTATATTTATTGATCAACGCGTTCTTTATTTCGCGTTTACATGTTCTATGAATAGTCCTGATTTGTATCAGTAAACGCGACGAAAATATAAACCAATTTATTTATACAATCTGTTCCCCAAAATGATTTGTTGTAATTCAGAGAAAGGCTGTACTTTTTACCAAAATATTTAGTTTATTACGTAGAGCAAATATTTAATATTACAATCATTGTTATACTATGGATTTTCAGTTTGTTTAATATAGGCTGAAAGCGAAGATAAATATGGGTGAGTTTGATTATTTAAGTAAAAAAAAAGATGGGTAAGGCAGTAGTAGTTCAGAGATAAACTAAAATAAATTGTAATTAAAATTTCCGCAAATGCATCTCACTAAACAATTTGGTTTTAAACGTTAAACAAATATTGCAATGTTATTACTATTGTTATAATTATACTCACAGAATCTGTTGTTTACTCAATTTAGATTAAATAATAAAGCGTTTGCTTATTCAACGTACAATGGATAGTTTGTTATGTATAACCGTTATTGTTTATATTATGTTATACCTTATTATTTTGAAGATGTATATGTGTATAAGTCATTAAGACTTAGTACAAATACCACTTAGGAAGGTCACATAACTAATTATTGCGTAATAATTATTCTTAAACACTATTGTTAATTACCATGTTGTGCACAAATTCAAAGGGCTAATCGATAATGTTTACTAATATGTACATCTGCCTAATCACTTAATGACTATGGAAAGTTAGCTACTATCTTCCCTTACCAAATATTGTACTCCCACTATGCTATTTCACTATTATATAATAGGATATATATGTAATAAAAAAGAGTTCTAAAGAGTCCGAGTCCTAGCTAGTCGCTAGTCCAAGTTAGTTTTAGTCTTAAAGGAGTGTCTTTCCTAGTCCTAGTTATACTCATAGAAACC